TATATTTTATTAATTTTCATAAACATTTACAGAGATTTTGGGCTTCCACTCATTCATTGTTGCACTATTCTCTCTACCCTCCTCCCAGTTTGTTCTTAAGACCTTTTTTTAAAAAGAAATATCACTGTTACTTTTCCAGTCCCTACAAATGCAAGTATTTATTAATCTTAGTTTTTAGATTCAATCACAAGGTCTTATTTAAGTTTTAAGCATTTGAAGTTGCAAATTATTAACATGTCACATTATTTTTTAACACCCAAATGGGTCTGAAGCCCAAAAGGCTAGTATTTAAGCCAACCGGGTATCTGACAAAATAACAGTCTTTGCCCTGACTTTATTTGAATAGATGTTTAATTGGTTCATAGAGCTGACCAGTCAGTCAGTCTGAGGAAAAGCCAAATACTACACTTTTTAGAAAGATAATATAAAAAGTTTTAAGAGAATCGTCCATAGGTTTCTGACAGGGAAGTTATTTTACTCAAGTATCTGTGGGTAGAATTTTTCTTTTCCCCCTCAGGGTTGTATTTTGATGGCATCCACGGAGTTAATTCCTCTTTCCCGTAAGGGCCCCGTAGTAGTTGTTAGGTCAACCCCTATAAAGCTTCAAAGGTTCCGCGTCCCCTCAGTTTGACCTATGCAGTGATCTGCACATTGTTTTCATTTAGCTGCCTCCTGTCCAAGACGAAAGCTTCAAAACCACAATGATCTGCTCCTTTTTAAATTCATTATTCCATGGCTTTGAAAAAACAGCTCTGAAATACAACTAAAAAACTGAAAAAGGGGCGGGGGTGGGCGGTGGACACATATATAGACACTGAAGAATGGTAAACTCTTAACAAAATGTAAACAACTTGAGAAGAAAGGGTTTGGAGGTTTTTTGGTTGTTTCTTGCAACAGGTAATTTATATGCGTTTTAGAAAAGAACATGGGTTACTTTTTGTTTTCTAGAGAAAAACAGGGTGTGGGGCTAGACAGACAGATGAACAAAAAGCAACTGTGCTTTCACTGGATCATCTCTAGGGTTACAGGTTCCCCTGACTTCCCTTCAGGATGAGAAATGCTAAAATAACTCAGGAATGGATGATATTCATCACTTTCAGTAGTTAAACATAAGCAGATACCAGGTCACTATCAAGAACTAGTATTCCAGGTTTCAGGTGTAGAATGACAGTCTTGGTTATTATTGCAGCAAAAATATCATTTTAAGCAAGACCACTGTGTCTCAAAAAAAGGTAAGGAGAATAGTGATGCTGGTTAGTTAGTCACCATAACATTCTCTCACCCACATCCCAAGGAGTCCAGACCAAGAAAAGCTGACTTAGACCTGAATTTCTTAAATTTAAGGTAAGTAAAGTTAAAAATAGTATGGGAAACGGAGGATTGGAAAAAATAATATTAGAAAAGCAGTGCAATTATTTAAATAATCTATTAAATACACATTTAAAAACTAATAAAAAATATCTAAAAAGGTCTTGAGATGAACCTTTACCAAAACGAGGGTCAAGTCTTGGGTCTAGCCAAGAGGTGGTCTTGTTCTTATGATTTATGTAGTAAATTTCTCCATCCTGAGTCATGGCTTGTTCCCATCCATCAGGAAGAGGACCTATAAATAAAGGGGGGAAAAGAATCATGGTTGGTTTTTATTTGGCACAGCTTAAAAAAAAGTGGAAGGGATACTAAATTAAAAAGAAAGACATTTTGACATAAAATAATTCATTAATATAGAGTTAAAAACATGTGTAAAGAAAGTTAAGCCTATATAGTCAATTCTTCTTAAATAAAAAGAAAACCATGTAACAAAACTAATACCCAAGAGTTCAGTTTTAAAAAATTATGTTGGACGACATGATCTAAATAATTATAATGATGGCTAATACAAGGCATGGAGGTTTGTGGATCAACATACAAATTTCCCTTGGGACTCCAGAACCCTTTAATAAGGAATACATGCATGAATTTTCAGATCATCTAACAATTAAAATGCACAAGTCAGCTTAACATACCAAGTTTCATGCATTTCCTTTATGTTACTGACTCATACATAAAAGTCTACTGCCCAAAAAGGTATATAATAAACCATCTCAATGGAAGAGGTCCAGATTGACCTGAACAGATACAGAACACTTGAAAAGCCCATCACAAAAGAAGAAACTGAACAGGTCATAAAAAGACTCCCTCCCACCACCCCGCCAAAAAGAATTCCCCATAAGAAAAGTCCTGGACCAGATAGCTTCACAGTTGAATTCTACCAAACATTCAGAAAAGATCTATCATCAATTTTAATTAAAGTATTTAAAAAAATAGAAGAATGAACACTCCCAGAATCATTCTATGAAGCAAGCATAACCTTAATACCAAAACCAGGCAAAGATATTAACGAGAAAGAAAATTAAAGATTAGTATCTCTCATGAATATAAATGCAAAAATCCTTAACAAAATCCTAGCCAGTAACATCCAAAAGCACATTTAAAAAAATTGGAACAGAAGGAAATTTCCTCAAGATAGTGAAAAGTATATATGCAAAACCAAGAGCAAATAAATAGCATTCTCAATGGAGAAAGACTAAAAACATTTTCCTTATAAACAATAGCTGAAGCAAAACACACACACAAAACCATTTTCCTTGCAAACAGGGATCAGACAAGGATGTCCACTGTCACCAGTTCTATTCAATATTGTATTGGAAGTGCTTGCTAGGGCAATATGACATGAGAAGAAAATAAAAGGCATCCAAATCAGCAAAGATGGTTAAACTATCACTATATGCAGATGATATGACATTGTACACAGACAAATCTCAAGGACTCAAAACAAAAAAACCTACTAGAGCTGGTAGGTCAATTTAGTAGAATGGCAGGATATAAGATCAATATCCAAAAGTCAGTAGGATTCTTCTATAGTAACAAAGAGAATTCAAAAGAAGGAAATCAAGAAAGCAATACCATTTATAATGGCCAACCATAAACTGAGATACTTGGGGGTGAACCTAACTGGAAACACAAAAGATCTGTACAAAGAAAACTATAGAACATTTCTGCAAGACACAATAAAAGATGTAAAGAAATAGAAAAACATGCCCTGTTCATGGATAGGAAGACTCAATATTGTGAAACTGACAATCCTACCAAAAGCAATCCACATGTTCAATGCAATCTCAATACAGATACCAAATTAATTTTTCAAGGAGATTGAAAGGGAAATTGTCAAGTTTATTTGGAGAGGAGAGAGACCCGAAATAAGCAAAACACTTTTGAAAAACAAAAATGAAGTGGGTGGCATAGCACTCCCTGACCTCAAAACCTATTACATAGTGGCAGTAACCAGAACAGCAATGTACTAATACAATGACAGGCACACAGAACAATGGAACACAATTAAGAACCCAAAAACTGAACCTAGCTATCTATAGTCAATATATTCGACAAGGAAATAAAACTTATCAAATGGGGAAATGACAAACTCTTCAATAAAAAGTGCTGGCAAAACCGGATTGCTAACTGTAGAAAGCTCAAACAGGATCCACATCTCATACCATACACAAAAATCAACTCAAGGTAGATCAGAGATCCAGCAGTAAATCCCAAAACCATAAAATTCATCAGAGATAAAACTGGGATCAAGTTTAGAAGGCCTAGTCTATGGTATAAAGGGACTGCCAAACAAGTTAGAAATGCACAATCTGAAAAGGAAAAAGAATTGAAGAATGGGGCCAGCTAGAGATTAAATCCCTGTAGGCATCAAAAACCTTTTCCAACAGAGTGAAAAGAAAACCTACTGATCAGGCAAACACATTTGGCAATACCTTTCAGACAAGGGTCTCAGATCAAAAGTTTAAAGAATCCTACAGGGCCTCCACAATAAAAAGACTGATTGCAAAATGGGCAAAAGACATGGAAAGAATTTTCTCAGAGGAAGATATCTGAATAGCCAACAGACACAAGAAGAAATGCTCAAAATCACTGTCAGTAAGAGGGATGCAAACCAAAACCACAATAAGATAACATTTCACTCTAGTAGCTATGTCAAAGTTTAACAGGACAGCAAGTAATAAATGTTGGAAGAGGATGTGGGGAGATAGGAACTCTTATACACTGTTATGGTACAACCACTCCGGAAGGCAGTCCAGCATTTCCTCAAAAAGCTGAACACAGAAATTCTACATGGCCCTGCTATTCCACTGCTTGGAATAGGCCCTGTGAAAATGAGAACTGAGGCACAAATGGAGACTTGTACACCAATGTTCATAGCAGCATTATTCACCATCGTAAGAACATGGAAACAGCCCAAATGCCAACCACAATCAATTGGATTGAAAAATTATGGGACATTCACATGAAAGAATACTATACAGTACACAGGAGCAATGATTTTGTAAATCACTACCTAACCTAGCTTGGGAGGGACTGGAGAGTACAAACTCAGTCTCATAAGTACAAATACTGTATTAAGATCATTATCGTACAAAGAGATAACTAGTAAAACATGCATGAGCATCCGGGGGAGGGGCAGAAGGGTGACGATGCGGGTAATCGTAAGGTCGCACAATTTGATGGGTGGAAAGGGGTGGGTTAAGGAAATGGAAAAGATCTGGTGTGAAAAACAGTGTATATTAACTTTTTAAGTAAACTCATATAAAATAAAAATTTTATACTAAAAAAAAGTTTTATCAGTGTTGGAAGAGAAAAAGGGAGGAGCTAAAAGGTCCAGAAAGGGAAGTTAAATGTTTGAAGAAGAAAAATGGACAAGGTGCCATTTCAAACCTGCAGAATAAGGAAGTAACAACTGGAGAGCGTATTAAAGAATAGATAAATCAAAGAAAAATTTCCTATTTTTATTAGGTTAGTGAGAGAATCAGCAGTAGGCTTCCATTAAGATTTATAGACTTGGAAACTCTATGGGTCAGTTCAGACTCGATACCAATGTTTTTGATTTTAGAGACAACTGCCTTTTTTTTTTTAGGGAAGGAAGAAAGAGGAGACTACAATAAGTAAATTGTAAAATAAATTACTCCTCTGTCATCCCCATGAGGAATCAAGAAAGGCAAGTATGAACTATAACATCTGAGTACAAGGTTAAAAATTGCACAGTAATATGAATGGAAAACCTTCCTAAGCATATTATATATACATTAATTCATTTCAACAATGGTACAAGTAGTAGTAGTATTACCTCCACTCTAAAAAGAAACTGAGGCACAAAGTTCTTAAGTGTGGTGGTGGTGGTTGTTAGGTGCCACAGAGTTAAGTATGACTTACAGTGACCTTATGAACAAACAACATGAAACTCGTCCTGCCCTGTGCCATCCTCATACTTCCTGACACACAAGAGCCTACTGCAGCAGTGATCTTGTCAAACCACCTGGTTGAGGGTCGTCTTCTCCTTCGCCGACCTTCCACCCTTCCCAACATCATGTCCTTCTCCAAGGAATAGCCCCTCCTAAGCATTATGTCCAAAGTCTGTTAGGCGAAGCCTCATCATTCTTGCCTCCAAAGAGCACTCTGGCTGCACCCTCTCCAAAACACATCTGTTCATTCTCTTAGTCGTCCATGGGATGTTCAGTGTTCTCAGGTTCCAAATCTAGTTACTATCACAGATAATACTGAAAAGCAGGCAGCCTGATTCCTGGTCTGGAACTGTATCTCACAACCAAGTTCTTTTCATCTCTCAAATCCAGAACCAGAGATGGAGCTTGCTTCCTATGCAAAAATAGAGTAATTTCATTCTTTTTTTTTTCAGCAGTCCATGTCAAACTCCTAACTTAAGAAAATGCCATCTCTCTTACGTGCTACTCTCATCATCACACTTTTCTTCCTTAGAAATTCTTATTCAATTCTGAGCGACTGCCTTTTGATTCAGCCTGCACTGATTATGTCTGATTCAATCACTAGTTTCCTCTAATATTTGCAGTAACATTTAAAAGACAGACCTATAATTGCTAGTTAACATGCCTGTTCTTCTAAGGGCAATGACCAAGTATTTGATCTTTTCAAATTTTCAGGGTAGTATTGAGTTGTTACTCAGTAAATATTTAATGAGGGAATGAAATGTCCTGCCTTTTGATTAATACCTGGAACTTTCTACCAGATAGTAACATCATCTCCAACACAAATTTTTAAACCGGAATATGAATGTTATTAATATGATGTCTATTACCCTCTTGAGCTTTGAAATTCACTTTTACAGTTCACTGAAATAAACAATTTAAAATTATAAAAGTGTAAAACAGAAAAATTTTATTATAACCGAATCTCCAGGGGAGAAATAAAACAAATGTTCCTATAACATGCTCCTAAATATTTTTACCATGTATATTTCATATACATGCATATCCAATGGGGTCATGCTCTCCCTGAACCCAAAGGAATAAAGACCATCATCATGTCCTTTCTGGCTCATTAGAACTCTATACGAAAGAAATCACTGAACTCACTGCTTGTGTTTTCAGAGGCTGCAAATCTTTACTGGAGACTGTCTTTCTCTTACAGAGCAGCTGATGGATTTTAGTCACTAACCATTCTGTTAAAAGTTCAACACTTGTATCATTCACACTGTATCATCAGATCCCTTAGCGAACTTAAATGACTTACTTCACTGCTGCTGAG